GTGCAGATTTCATTAGATACAGATAAATAAAAAAACTGATTTTTCCATGAAATTCAATAAATAACCAATTTTTTCATTCAATGAAAAATTTTTATTTCTGATTTGAAAAAATGATTTCGCAAAATTTCTGGAAAAGAAGTAGAGTGAAGTGAAGCAAATGGACGGATTGTTTCTGATACTTGGCCAAGAAATAAGGTGTTCAAGAAACTTGAAATCATTGTATACCAGTGTGTAATGTGTAATTTTTTTTTTCCTTTGTACAGATTGAAGCTTTTTATGGGATAATTTTCTCTTCTTTCAAGAGCATCTAATGATCAAAATCTTGACAAAAGTTATAATTGTTAGTTTTCTTTTAAAGCTTTTAGATCTGAAATCAGATTTTACACCATCTTTGTAGGTTATCTTAACCTGGCTTTGAATAACATGGTCCTGTTGCACTAAGTAAATTAGACACCTGAGTAAAATATACAGGTACAGTATACATTTAGATACAAAGGGTAGCATCAATTAAGAATAATATCTCTCTCCTGTAATTTTTTCATGAAAGTTTTCTTTACTTTTCAACTGGCATGGGAAAGCCGGTTCTGACAGCCACTAAAGATTGAATTTTATTGTATCTTCCACAGAGAACCTTTGATTGGCATCCAAACACAAGGAAAACCAGGTTAAAGCTATAGCAATACAAGGATTAGCTGGTTGAGATTCCAAGATGGCCATGATGGATATGTTTTGGTAAAGAAGAACCCTTACACTGGAAAGTTCCCCAGCATGAAGGACACATCAACCCTGGAAGCAGGCAGGAGCAAACTGTTAGGTTCAGGTGATATGGGAACCTTCACACAAAATATAAAAAATTTTGGAATAAGGAAGACAAACTTTGTTAAACATAGTTGAGAAATAAGAGAGATGAAGTGTTATTTTATTTTAATTGGGGCTATGGTGGGAGGGGGGGGGAGTTACGAGCGCAAATCAAAGGAACTGTTTGAGTTCTCACAATGAGTCAAACCAAACCTTCTGAAAATAACCAACAAAGAGTCAACTCTACAGAGCAGAAAAAATAGATGGGCTTGAACCCTATATCTTAGAGACTTGTTAAAAAACTTACCCTTCTGTACGAGTTAAACATTGCCCAGTGGTGACCATGAGCATTAGCAAGGCTTATTCTTGAGTTGCTAATACCAAAAGTCAAGCGGGTCTGTGCTTTGCTTAAACCCTGAAAGCTCACTTAGGAGCAGTTGATATTCTTAAGGAAGACTCACGAAAGAGGAAACCTGAGCCCACAACAAAGGCATGCAGGACAAGTTAATCACATAGCAACTGCTTTGCTCATTGTCTTTTTTTTTGTTTTTTGTAAGACTCAGTGTGCCATCTGTGCAGGGGAGCCAAGAAAAAGAAACCGTCCATGACAGTAAAACAGTGTGAAGCTGAAAGCCATTGCTACAATTACAAGAATAATGTGATGTACTTTGATGGTGATTTACTGAAACACGGCTCTGTGCAAATATATCAACTGAATTTCCCCCAAAGTGATTATTTCTCTTCTTTTCTAACATTTTGCCATGTCAACAACTATCCTTTGAGATAGCAAGGGAGCAATGTATCCCATTTTAACACCATAGCACTGCACACCCATTCCTCGCAAGATTAATCAGTGCAATTCTTTTACATTTTTGACGCACAAATTAGTCAGTCCAGACACGAGTGTAACAGTAATTGTAACCTTCTGTCTTGATTTAAACTTTTAATGAGAACTCTTAGAAAGTTGTTGCATGTGATTGGCTATAGGCAGCACAAATGAGCACCAATGGGACAGTGTACTTGTCGTGCTTGTCGCTGGACAGTTTGATATTAAGACAGTTTAAAGGTCATACCTGTGTCACTACACGATATGCATCACCTACGCACTCTGTTGTACACACTACTAGGTACAGTTTCTTGAGGGAAAATGCGAACTGGTATGTTTCCATCTACGAAAACGTTTTACCAATGAGTCTTTGGCTTCTTAAATTTTTTCATAGTTGGTATCAAATGGTAATGGGACTTCATGTCATCCCATTCTAAGACTACACTTGTGAATAACAAATCTGACTCCTGCTTTAGCCCTTCACACCCTGACATTAGTTTACCAATTCTCAATACTGTTCTCTTTACATTTCTCCGAGCACTTACAAGGAGAATTTGTTTAACAATCAAGAACTTCTGTAGGTGCTGATCATTTCCATTATTCTCCTGACCGTTATGTTTGATTTAAGGGTGATACTGTAAGGAGAAATAAGATGCCAGTCACTCTTAGGAGTCAAAGAGTTTATCACGTTTTCTTACAGACCCCATTGAACTCCATTCTTTGTACTATACTAGGCACAATTGACGCTGCTTTTGCAGATGGGCTATTCGAATTAAGAACAGAATTAAATTGAGATCAGTGTCCTTTCTTGCCATAAATTCCCCTTAATCAAGCCAGACCTAAATAGGGCAGTGCAACTCTTTTACATTTTTGACGCACAAATTAGTCAGTCCAGACATGAGTGTCACAGTAATTGTAACCTTCTGTCTTTATTTAAACTTTTAATGACAACTCTTAGAAAGTTGTTGCATGTGATTGGCTATAAGCAGCACAAATGAGCACCAATGGGACAGTGTACCTGTCATGCTTATCGCTGGACAGTTCGATATTTAAATACAGTTTAAAGGTCATACCTGTGATGAGTATATGGCTTCTTAAATTTTTTCATCGTTCGTATCAAATGGTAATGGGACTTCATGTCATCCAATCCAAGACTACACTTGTGAATAACAAATCTGACTCCTGCTTTAGCCCTTCAGACCCTGACATTAGTTTACCAATTCTCAATACTGTTCTCTTTACATTTCTGCGAGCACTTACAAGGAGAATTTGTTTAACAATCAGGAACTTCTTTAAGTGCTGATCATTTCCATTATTCTCTTGACCGTTATGTTTGATTTAAGGGTGATACTGTAAGGAGAAATAAGAAGCCAGTCACTCTTAGGAGTCAAAGAGTTTATCACATGTTTTCTTACAGACCCCATTGAACTCCATTCTTTGTACTATACTAGGCACAATTGATGCTGTTCTTGCAGATGGGCTATTCGAATTTAGAACAGAATTAAATTGAGATCAGTGCTCTTTCTTGCCATAAATTCCCCATAATAAAGCCAGACCTAAATAGGAAATGGAAATTGATAAACAGGGGGGGAGGGGGGAGAGAGAACAAGGTTTTGAATTAGCAACATTTACTTGAACCCCCAATAGTGACACAAAAAGAGATAAAAACCGCAAATGACCGACATTTGTCTCCAGCATTTAACATCGTTGAAGTGTCACTACAATTTTCAGTTCCAATCTTTTCTTTCCACTATGTCGCTCTCGTATAGTACCAAGGAAGAGGAGCATCCTGAATTTGATTGTTGTTTCTCAAACTTTTGCTGGGCCAGGTGTTCTTACAGAGAAAAAGAGACAGACGTCAAGTGTTTCGAGAGTCAATCATCCCCAGACGTAAACACGCTCGTTGAAAGCTCACTAATTTGCGCAGTTCAAGTGGTATTTCTCGTATAAAATAAGTTTTCATCGACTTGAAATTTCCAGTCATTACCATTTGGATTATATACCTTAGAGCCTCCTTTTTTGTTGTTGTTAGGTATATTTCAAATCTCAAGTGCCATTCTTGAGACGTGCCTATTACGGAAATGTCGTTTGGGTCAGGAAATAGGCGGGATAAACAATTTTTAAGATCAGAAAAAAAATTTTATAAAGTTCACGGAAAATTTAATACACTATATCCATATGTAGACTTGTTGCTTGAAATGACTTTAGTAACCTCATCTTACAAACCGTTCACAAGAGTAAAAAAGATCACTGAAACATAACTGGAATAATCGTGTAAAATTAAAATGTCCGGCAACTTAGGTTTCATTTCTCCGCTCTCCTTATGTAGGCATCCTGATAGTTTCCATGCATCACCACGAGTTCGTTTCTAACCAATATAATACGTGCTCCAACACCAACTAAAACAAACCCTATTTACTGATGTACCAACAAATACATTTAACTTAAAAAACACTGCTATCAAAAAAGCATTCGAAAAGTACATTAACCATTTGGATTCTTGCTTCCACCAAAGTATTTTAGTAACCAAACATCCTCTCCCGACAAATGAAATAAATTTAGAAATGGTTGTTTCTATTCTACTACGTCCTTAGCCTACTTTGTAGTTCATCCAAGTTCTATCCACACACTTAACCGAAAGGAAAAAGATACAAAGGATGGAGACTGGCCAAACATGCTAGAAAATTCTGCCCTCACCGCACAAGTTGAATGTTACACTTATCGTTGTTAAGAGACGGTTCTTAGCCAATCCTTTGCTTAAATCGTTCGCCCAGTGTCCTGTTTCACCCGAGTGATTGATTACTGTGAGACTGAATGTAGTTAAAGATCTGCTCTTCGCCAAGCCCTCACCCACACCTCTGGCCCAGTGTCCCACCTTGTCAGTGTGATTGTTAACTGTGAGACTGAATGTAGTTAATGAACTGCTCTTCGCCAAGCCCGCACCCACACCAACAGCCCAGTCTCCCATCTTGTCAGCGTGACTGTTAACTGTGAGACTGAATGTAGTTAATGATCTGCTGTTCCCCAAGCCATCACCCACACGGGCGGCCCAGTCTCCCATCTTGTCAGCGTGATTGATAATTGTGAGACTGAATGTAGTTAATGATCTGCTCTCCGCCAAGCCCACACCCACACCAACGGCCCAGTGTCTCACCTTGTCAGTGTGATTGTTAACTGTGAGACTGAATGTAGTTAATGAACTGCTCTTCCCCAAGCCCGCACCCACACCAATGGCCCAGTCTGCCGTGGTGTCACCGTCAATGTTAACTGTGAGACTGAATGTAGTTAATGATCTGCTGTTCGCCAAGCCATCAGCCACATCCATGGCCCAGTCTCCCATCTTGTCAGCGTGACTGTTAACTGTGAGACTGAATGTAGTTAATGAACTACTCTTCGCCAAGCCCGCACCCACACCAACGGCCCAGTCTCCCATCTTGTCAGCGTGACTGTTAACTGTGAGACTGAATGTAGTTAATGAACTGCTCTTCGCCAAGCCCGCACCCACACCAACGGCCCAGTCTCCCATCTTGTCAGCGTGACTGTTAACTGTGAGACTGAATGTAGTTAATGATCTGCTGTTCGCCAAGCCCTCACCCACACCACTGGCCCAGCGTCCCACCTCGTCAACGTGGTTGATAACTGTAAGACTGAATGTGGTTATTGATCTGCTGTTCGCCAAGGCCTCACCCACACCCAAAGCCCATTCTCCTGACTCATTACCGTGGTTGACTGTGAGATTGACTGTGCTTAAAGATGCAGAGCTTAATAGGTTAAAGACTTCATCGCGATTGGTAGCCTTTCCGTCAACTAAAAACGAGGCCGACACTGAAGAAAAATTACCGGATGTATCAAAACCTCGTGAAAAGTTGTCTTCACTTAAACCATTTACATAGACCGAAATACCATACTTTTGACCCTCTTTAACTAATCTTTCAAGAGCAGTTCCTCCGTAGCTTGTGATTTCACCGCAAAGGTTAATAATACTGTGTGAGGAAAGTGAATTGTTAGCCACCAGAAAATAGTCTACCAGACAATCCACTACGTCGTTGCATAGTTTACCTCGGATATTCAATTGGAGACCAGATAATGGCGAACTTTTCATGAAAAAACCTCCAAGGGCTTTAAAGCTGTCAACACTCAGTTCCCCACAGACGTTCACGGTTAACGACTTCTCTACCGGGGCATCACCTAGAAACGGAGAGGGCAGCAAACTTTCTTCAAGTTTGATTTTCCCGCATACATTTGGATGAATAATAAGAGACATCCATGACTTATTGGCTGCCAGTAGAGTAGCAACAGCTGTCATCCACGCTTCTGGGATTTCTCCATACACCTGTAATTCTAAAGAGTGCAAAGTTCTATTTCGTAGAACACCTTTCTGCAGTGCTACAATTCCAGGGTTGCTGGGTTTTCCATGAACAACAAGACTAAGAGACTCCAGCCCAGTTTCTTCTGCAAGTCCTTCACTAACAGACGACACTAAACAGTCATCCAGATCCCCATAAACAATAAGGGCGAGAGATCTTAGCGATGTTTTGAATAACACTTTTACGGCTTCTGCAACAGTGTTGTTCACAATACAAAAGAATTCAAGCGCAACACATTTCAATTGTGAAAAAGTCGATAACAAGGCACTGGCATTGTAGGTGCACCTCTCAGTACTCACGTCCAACAGTTTAAGCGTGACTTTTCTTAATGAAGTGCTTGACGACACACTCTCAGCGAACAGATCTGCAATATCATGAGACATGTTCTCGATTTTATAAATGACAAGCTCTGTGAGAGTTTGACTTTCTTCGAGAATTCGATGGAAATTATGCACATCGTCTCTATTAAAAGACTGTACATTACACAGGCTAAGTGTGGTGAGCTGCACTGGTGTTGAATCACCTTCAAGCATGGCGCCTTCATAAGCATAACGTATCAACCTCAAGCTAGACCGCTCTTCCTCACCCACTTGAAAAACAGTTGGTAATGAAATAAGAGGGCAGACAACTTTGCCAAAATGATCAGCAGCACCACTCTCTTCTAAAAGGTCAAGTAAGAACTTACAGTCTTCAACAGGATAACGCCAGTTCCAATCTCATCTCAGAATGGTTCCTATCTGTTTGAAAAACACCGTTCCTTCCATGCCCAATATGCCAGCTACAAAGAAAAATACTTGTCTGTATTTTTCACAAACATCTTTCTTGCATAAAGTAAGGTTTGGTTGGTTCGTCAAGAGCTCGTTTGCTAGGTAGAAGGCAGCTAAAAACTCTTGAAATGTTTTGTGAAGAAAATGACACTGATGCCTTGGCTCTTGACATAGCCTTGAACTGGCTTCCATGAAAACAAGGCCCAATTTGATTGCTGGAAATCTTCTCACACGGGTCCTCGAATGTTCTAGCTTGTCCAGTTCCTCTTCCGAAAACGAACGGCGGTCTTCTAGAAGACAATTCCACGCTAGCTCCCCAAGTACAAGTATGGACTCTTTAAATTGATTCTCTAGGGCTTTGTCGGCATTGTGATGAACGTTCAGGCCATTTCGGGAGCAATATCGCCTTAGCAAGCATCGAAAAATAATCTGATAAAGCTTTGTGCGATTAGATGGAAGTTTCCCTTCAAAGTCTTCAAAAAACAACGCACAAGAGAAGGAGATTCAACGGATTGTTCCTTAACGCATCTAGGTAA